GGGAGGCCGAGCCCCGGGTTCTGCCCTGGCCGCGGTGCTGATCCCTGTGCCCTCTGTCCCTCAGTTCTCGTTCCTGATGACGGAGGCCCTGCTGGTGTTCTCCCCCGAGACCTCGCTGCTCCGCTCCTTCTCCCGCAAAGTCAAAGTGCGGGTGCACTGGGCCCTACAGCTGCTCGCCCTCCTCTGCGCCCTCCTGGGGCTGGGCATCATCACCTACAACAAGCACCTGAACGGCAAGGCCCACTTCGTCACCTGGCACGGCCTGACGGGGATGCTGGCCGTGCTGTACACCGGCGGGCAGTGCGCGGGCGGCGCGCTCCTGCTCTACCCCAAGCTGGTGAAGAACTGGACCTTGGCCAAGCTCAAGCTGTACCACGCGACCTCGGGGCTGGTGGGCTACCTGCTGGGCTGCGCCAGCCTGATGCTTGGCATGTGCTCCCTGTGGTTCACCACCTCAGTGACCGGCATCTCCTGGTACCTTGCCATGCTCTGTCCCCTCCTCACCAGCCTGGTTATCATGAACCAGGTCAGCAATGCTTACCTGTACCGTAAGCGCAGCCAGCACTGAGGGCCCAGCGCGGATCTGAACTTCCCCCGTGTGAGGCAGGGGCTCCCCCCTGGCTCACACAGGGTCTCCTTGGAACTCGATTTCTACCTGCTCGTCTCTCAGTCCTGGATTGTCTGTAGTGTCTTGTCCCTGGGGAGCAGCTACAATGTGCATGACGCTGAGTGGGCAGGAGCTGCCCAACTCCTGCCTGCCTTGGCGGGGACGTTTCCCAGCACAGGTAACGCTGCTGGTCCCGGTGGCAGCTTGGTGCTCAGTGCTGAGAAAACAGAGGGTTCACTCAGGATTCCTGCTCCTTCTCCCTTCCCTGACTATCCAGGGCTGCTTTGGAGCAGGCAGGACAGGAGGTGGTGTGTTCCCAGTGAGGAGGGCAGGGAGTCCCTGCTTACCTGGGAGGCTGCAGTGGGCATCGCACTGCCATGAAGGCAGCTTGGCCAGTAAAAGCACAGGGCATGGTTGCGTGCTTCAGCCACAGGAGGGCTGAAGCAGGGTGGCAGCACCCAGTGCAGACGCAGCAGGACAGTGGCACGTCCATCCCCACAGTGCAGCCTTGGACAGGGTCACAGAGGTTCCCCAGGAGCGGTGCAGTCAGCCCTGCCCCATGGCTGCAGACCCAGGCACCCATTGCCACGCACAAATCCTTCCCCCAGGCTGGGACAGTGAAACTTCAGCCTGGCAGGAAGGGGGGGCTAATTTTATACAGCAAGTTACCAAGCTGGGCTGCAAACCAGCAGCCTGCAAAGGTGTTTTGTCCCTCTGAGGGGCACAAGGATCACCACAGGAAAGGGGGCACCAGGGCTCAGGATGAGCCCCTGAGTCAGCCAGGGGAACGGCCCTTGGGAAAGCAGCAAGCAGCCTCCTTGCCTCACTGACACAACAGCCTTTTTTCCAGCCTGCCTGCCATCGGGGCAGCAGGGCACTGTGAGGCTCCGTCTGCTGCAGCAGCCCCTTGACAGCACATACCCTGCTCTCGGCAGGGCCCCGGGCTGGGAAATTCCTCTGTATCCAGAGCTTTTATTCAATAAAGATTTCAGGCAGCTACAGCGCGACAAGCCCAGTTTTCTCTTTGAGGGTGGAGGGCTTTTGGGCTGCAGGCAGATTTCCACCCCTGTTGATTTCCCTCTCCTGCTTGCACAGGGTCTCTCCCAGGCTGCTGGGGGCACCTAGGAAGAAACCCCCTCCCCAGGCTTCCACACACGAGCCCTCAGGGCTCTCCCCTGCTTGCGCTCAGCTGCAGGAGCCAACTCTTTCAAAGAACTCTTTATTTATAGCGAAACATCTGTGTTTTTCCCAGTTGACAAAACCTTCTCATGTGGTCCTTTAAAAAAATAATCATGACACCATTGACCCGTGTCCCAGGGACTGCCCAGACGATCGGGAGCTGTGAGGAGGCTGTTGCAGGGAGCATCCTCTCCATCCAGGAAAAAAAAAAAAAGCCCACCAACACAGAGGGAGGAAAAGAGAAGGGGAAGCCCGTATTCTACCTGCAGGAAAGAAAACCTGCTGCTGGAGGAAGCAGTGAGAGCCCCACCATAAAAATTAATTCCAGCTTCTAGTATAATCTGACAAACGGATTAGCTGGGGCGCGGCCGAGGGCACTGGCTCCTTGCAGGGCTGACTTTGGGGGTGGGAGAGGGAGGAGGAGAGAACCCCCATGCACAAAACCCAGAGTTCATGGTGCTGGACCACCGCTGTGAGGGGCTGGGTGGCCTTCTGCCCAGCGGCCTGTCCCCTGTCTGGCAAACCTCCTGCCAGGGCAGCAGGGAGGCTCCGCACAGGAAAGGGATTCGGAAAAGAAACCTGCGAGCCTTCCCATTTCTTCAGTTAGGGACAAAACTACCTTCAGAATGGAGGAAATAAGTGTTGAGCGCTCTGGCCAACGCCTGGTGGAGAAGAGAAGCAAGGAAGCACTGCTGACTTCACTCTTGTGTGGGCAAGGAGCCGGCTGGCTGCGCACAGGGCACACCTGAGGCTGGATCAGCCCCACGTTCCCCTCCTGGAACAGCCCCCACTGCCGGTGCCAACATCCACAGCCCCCCTGCGCCAAGGGGAGCAGCTCGAGGAGCCCCCATCCTTGCGGTGGTGGCAGTGTCATCATTCTGGGTGCCTGGTGCTGGCTACGAGTGGCAACGAAGCGTTGGAATGAGGTAGCCCCCTTGTCTCTGCCACAGGAGGAGTCCCTGCTCCCCGCCAAGCGTCCCAGCTGTGCAGGGGGGACATGACAGGGGTTAGCAGCTCCCCGACGGAGACGGGGCGGGGAAGGGGGGCGGTGTTCCGGCCAGTCACAGCTGGGATGGGGCATCCTGGAAGGTGATGAGGCTGGACTCCTGGGTGGTGCCCTTCCCAGCTGTGCCGGGGTCGGGGAGCAGCGGGCTGTCAGCCTTCGCCCCTGCCTCCTCCTCCTCGTCCTCCATGCTGGGCCAGGCCGACTGGTCCTCCACGCGCTTCAGCCGCTCGTTCAGGGCCTTCAGGGCCAGCTGCCTGCAGAGCAAGGACAGACGGACAGATGAGCCCTGGGTCCGACAGACAGGGCAGGGGTTAACGGCTCTGCCCCATGCGGTGCTGCCCTGACTCATTCCCAGCAGGAGAGGGTGGATTCAGCAGCCCCAGAGGTGACCCAGAGCACCTGGGGCTGCCCCCCTGAAACCCACTCACACTCCAGGGCTACGTAGGCAGAGTTCTCGTGCCACGGAGCGTGCTCAGAGGCTGTGGCTGTCAGACGGCACACGGCCGCTCTGGGAATGGGGGAAGAAAGGTGTAAAACGGGGTAGGGGGAAGTGGAGCACCAACGCCTTGCCCAAACCGTTCTGCCTGGGCTCAGGAAGGGCAACGCGGGGCGTGTGGGAAGGCTGGGTCGTGGGGCTGACTCAGCACCTTCCCTCGTGCCAGGGTGACAGGTGCTGCGAGCAGGGGGGCGGCACCTGCCCAGGCTGTCACCACCCCCCTTCTATAGAAACAGGGGCCCCTGGCCCCAAACCCCGCCTGCCCCTTCCCCAGGATCTCCTCGTTCCTTCTCTGCACTTCCACCACCGCTCCCCGTTTGGAAGAGAAGGATGATGTCCCAGAAGCACCCCAAAATTCTCCCCACCACCTCTGTGGCAGGGAGGGCAGCCCCAAGCAGCCCCCTGGAGAAGGCCCCACCTTAGCACCCTGCACCTAAATCTCCCCACTCCTCATCTGGATTTTAAACCCGACTCCCACTTCCCACAGACACGATCCCTGTGGAAACAGGGTGAGCGGTACCTTCTCCTCTCAGCGTCCTGGGGGTCCGTCCCTGGCAGGCTGATGGTGATGGATGACGGGGCACCCACGTCGTAACGTTTGACCGTCTTGCGACAGACCTTCACCTTCACCAGGAGGCTGTGCACCAGGTTGGCCACCAGACCCACCACGGGCTGCAGGATCTCGGGGAAGAAAGTGGCGAAGGCAAAGTGGTCAGACATGTCTCCGCGGCCTCTACTGTGCCGCTGGTAGAAACGGAGATAGACCCAGCTGGAGAGGAGCCCGAAGCCGTATGAGGCCAGCAAATTGCTCTT